CCCCCCCCGCCCCTCAGAGAGGAGGGGGTGACTGGCGAACGCATACCACCAGAGGTACCAAAACAGTGCACCATTTTAGCATCGATGAACTCACCGTATCCTCAACCCTCCTCCTCCCGTCCTCAGTGGAAAGCACCTGGGCGTGTCGCCTAGGCGTGTTCAGGGAGAGCTTGCAGGCGGAGCTTCGGTGATACGCCTTCAAGCCACTCTCAGTCCGGACTTCTTTCTCACACTCTTCATCCCTCCATCCTCACCCCCTCCCGTCTCCGCAAAACCGTGGCCGTCACCTCCTCATCCCCGTTCGAAAATCTACGGTTCATTGGGCCGTCTCGGCTGTTTCTCATTTTCATTTTATTTTCTTTTATCTATTTTTTTTCTCCATTCGTTCAGTTCGATTTACCTCGCATCCTCCTCCCACTCCAGGACGGGGGGTACTCACCTTTTCCCCAGTCACCGAAGGTAATACCGGCCTCTGATGATGGTGGTAACTCCGCTTGGGTTATCGGCATGGGGAGAGGTAATATTATGTTGGGGGCTGGGGTGAAGAAGGGGGGGGGAGGGTGAAAGGAAGCGGAGGGGAAGCAGAACAGTTAGATCCGACGGGGGGGGATGAGTGGGGGGCGAGAGGAGGACTGACACAATTACTGAAGTATCTAAACGCCTGGATCTCAAACCATTTTCTTTTCTTTTAACTATTTTTTCTCCATGCGTTCAGTTCGATTTACCTCGCATCCTCCTCCCACTCCAGGACAGGGGGTACTCACCTTTTCCCCAGTCACCGAAGGTAATACCGGCCTCTGATGATGGTGGTAACTCCGCTTGGGTTATCGGCATGGGGAGAGGTAATATTATGTTGGGGGCTGGGGTGAAGAAGGGGGGGGGAGGGTGAAAGGAAGCGGAGGGGAAGCAGAACAGTTAGATCCGACGGGGGGGGATGAGTGGGGGGCGAGAGGAGGACTGACACAATTACTGAAGTATCTAAACGTTTGGATCTCAAACCATTTTCTTTTCTTTTAACAATTTTTTCTCCATGCGTTCAGTTCGATTTACCCCGCATCCTCCTCCCACTCCAGTGTACGGGGGGTACTCACCTTTTCTCCAGTCGTAGAAGCTAAGCCTCTGATGATGGTAGTAACTCCGCTTGGGATATCGGCATGGGGGGAGGTAATATTGTGTAGGGGGTTGAGGGGAAGAAACGGGGGAGGGTGAAAGGAAGCGGAGGGGAAAAAGGAGGGGAAGGAAAACGGTTAGATCCGAAGAGGGGGGGGGGGCGAGAGGAGGACTGACACCATTACTGAAGTATCTAAACGCCTGGATCTCAAACCACCCTCAAATCTTGGGGGGAGGGAGGGGGNACCCTCAAATCTTGTGGGGAGGGAGGGGGCGGGAGAACAGAGAGGAGTTGTAACGTATGTCCTGAGACGTGGGCTAATTTGAACGGTGAGAGGGGATT